GAAGTGGAATGGCACTCCATTAATCTGGGACTGTTTTTTTTTATATACATATTCTTTGTATTAGATAGATATAAGTTGATTCTTTAAGAATGGATTCAAAGAAAGATGGTGCTGTAATGTAATGTTTTAGGTGTGTGTTTATAGTCGGTAATAATGTTATTATTCATCTTTCAACGTATTTTCCCCTTAGAGAATTATGTTCCTTTTTCATTAGTGTGACATTAGTGAAATCAGATTTATGTACAGCATCGTTCCTGTGCAATATGAGAAAGTTAGAATGTTTATCTAAACGCAAATCTCTCATGTGTTCGTAGATCCAGATTTTTAGATCACGTAAACATTTTTGCATTGAAAACCATTTATTCAATAAATCCCGACATCTGAATTGATGTTGGGTTTATTTTTCTTCGTAATTGTATCTCCGATTGTCTTGGATGTATATATTTGCGGGTTTAGTAGAAATATACATACACACACACACACGTACACACACACACACACATACACGCACACACGCACACACACACATACACACACGCACACACACACACATATATATATATATATATATATATATATATATACAGGGTGTCCCAAAATAAAGTATACACTCTTAAAATATTAATAGTTAATAATACATTTTTTATATGGATGAAAAGATGCAAAACAGATGGATTGGGAGAAGAGGGACAGTTGAATACCTGTCTAGATCACCAGATTTGACACCCTTCGATTTCTTTTTGTGGGGGTTTCTAAAAGACAAAGTTTACAGCAGGAAACCTGAAACAATTGCTGAAATGAGAGTACCAATTGAAGAAGAATTTGCTCAAATACCAGAGGAAATGATACTGGACGTTTGTAGGTCGATTTCTTCAAGATATGAAAAGTGTATTGAACAGAACGGCAACCAGGTTGAGCACTTGATGTGAACTCATCGTTATATGAACACTCTGCCATTGCCCCAAATAGCTTTTATCTTATTAAAGTTAATTTTCTGTTTTTTGTATATTTTACTCTCAAATCTTTTAAATGTGTATTCTTTCTCTTGTATTAATCTTATTTTTAATATATATATATATATATATATATATATATATGAGTCAATCGACTAAGTTGTTAAATTCTACAGACATTGTTCTCTTATCGTCTGGTGTAAAAATGGCTCTAATAAGATGATGATGCACTGATATAGTTCTGATTTTTATGTGCTATTCCAGTCGATATTTAAATTAGGTGAGCTTTTTTTGCATGCTAATTAAGAACTGTTGTTAGGTAGGCTAGATATATTTCGGAAGAATATTAAAAGAACCAAGTGTTGCAGCAAAGATCATGAAATAACAACCAAGGTTAAAGCTCTTGAACAGATGAAACAATGCTGGCAAGACAAACCTCTGCATGGCCAATATCCAGAACGAGGCTAATACAGCCGATATTGATAAAGTTAATACTCATCGATGGTTACGGGCATCTGGATTAAAGGCTGAAAAGGAAGGCTTTATTCTTGCAGCGCAAGACTACAGACTTTTCTTTTATGAATATAAAAAATCGTTACGATAGAGTAGGGCAATACGTACACTGGACAATGTGCAAACAGTTTGGAAATGATGTTAACAAACACTTTATGAACATCACCCAGCACCGGTTACAGAAATAGAAGACATCACAATTCTATGGGATTACACCATCTTTAGAGACCGAATGATTGAAGGAAATAGTCCGGACATAATTGTCACAAACCGAAAAGAAAAAAAAAACTTGCCTGCTAATTAATATGGCTTGGACAGAGAACTGTAACTTAGCAACAAAGAAATTTGAAAAACTATCAAAGTTTAAAGACTTGGAATTCGAAATAGAAAAAAAGGTGGAAACTAAAAACAAGAAAACAGGAATTGTAGATGCACTTGAATGATAAAATACATTGAAAAAATCCCTGGAAATCCCAGCTTGAGAGAAATACAAAAAAATGTGTTGATAAGTACAGCCAATAGACTAAGATGACCTTTGTCTATGTAACGCTTATGGAAGTTAGAAAAACAAATCATGAAATGTAGCCACAACAACACACCACTACCTGTTTTAGGTATTTTCCCGGAGACTTGGTAGGTAGTGTGACCATAGCAGAAAGTGAAATATAAGGATGATGATGATGATGATAAAAAATAATGTGGCACGTGAGGACATCAATAATTCCAGTTGTAGTTGGAGCCCTCGGATTGATTGGAAAAGGTTCTGATTGACACATTGAATGAATCCCTGGCAGCCCATGCCTTAAAGAAATACCAAAAAATTGTACTCACGAGTACAGCTCATATGTTATGAAGAGCTTTATATTTGTTAAATGTGCGCGGTCTTAGTTCTTTTCTTAATGCTCAGTGAAAAAATGTCACCATGACATTTCCGGCTTTAGGTCTCTGGTTGGGACAGGGAAAGAAATGTGTATACAACAGAAATCAAAGTAATAATAATAATAATAATAATAATAATAATAATAATAATAATAATAATAATGTTTACTCAAATGAGGATGCACCACCCTAAATCAGAAGTTATTAGACTGTACCTACCAAGAGCTTTAGGGGGCCGAGGTCTAATCCAACCTGAATTAACTCTAAAAATTACAACAACCGGATTAGAAGTTTTCCTTATTAAAAAAAAAACAATGATCTTCTCCTACAAATAGTAAAACACCAAATTCACCCCATCAACAAAGAAGCTGCACTCTTCAAGAAACAACTTAATGTACCTGAAACCCTACCAACAAAAAAAGCGAAGCGAATAGCATCAACACCAAATGAGTAAAACAGAAAGCAAAACAATTTGGCCAAATGAAATTACAAAAAAAAAAAAAAACTGGGAGGACAAGACGTTGCATGGCAAATATCTAAAAAGAACGAAAAAAAGAAGATGTGGACCTTGAGATCGTCAGCGCAGTGACTGAGTGAACTATATAGACAGGATTTGCACAACATGGATTCTGTGGCCTGTGACTGTTGTCTTTAGTGGGTACACCTGAAGTGTATTGGGAAGTTAACCATGCCCAAGGGGAAGTTTTTTGATTTTCAGAGACTGAAAGTGTTTAAAATATTCAAAGACTTCTATATTTCTTTTAACAATTGATGATGAAGAAGATTTTAAATTGTATTCCCAATTGATGGTGAAGTTATACTATAAATTCTATAAACAATGAATGGTATGACAGCATTTACGACAGTGATATAATAATAATAACTAAATATTTTTGCCCTTGCTTGCCTTTAAAGGAGTGCCCTTGTCGTGCTGATGTTGCTACATGCCTTACTTCTTGCCTATCTCACACTGCGAATTTTTTCTAAGCTCTATACTAAACATTAAATCTGTAACGAAAAAAAGAACTAAACAAAATGAACTCAAAACGATCAGCTTTAAAAAAGCACTCGTAACTGGAAAAACCGAATGAAAAAAGAATGTTAACAACAAATACTTTTTCACACCCAACCCAGTTCTGTGGAATCAGAATCAACGTTGAGTTTAAGCAAGCGAATGAGCCAATTCGAGTAAAGTGCCATGCAGATTTAAATTTTTTTCCAAATGCAGCTATCAATTTTCTTTTTTCTAGTTAACATTTGTGTCAGTCAGCTGTTGGCTCTCACGCTGGCCAATAGAATCTTCCTGCCTATTCGTGGCAGCCAGCTATTGGCTCTCACTCTGGCCAGTAGAAAATGGCCGCAAACTAAATGAAAACCGCCTCAGAAGCATGAAAAAAATCGATTATTTCCACTATCGATGGGAGTTGGGAAATGCAAAGTCGGTCTTGGCCTTCCCGCTAACTTGGAGCATGTGCATGTAAATTTTGGTCGAAAATTGCGGCCGTGCATTCGTTACACACACACACACACACACACGCACACACACACACACATCCTGCCTTTTATAGATAGAAATAATAATAATAATATACGCGCAGATGGGCGCATGCAAAGACACACAGGCACGCACACATACACTTTTTAAAAAATAACTTGCATCATTGAAAAGTGCCTCCTCACCATACAAAGTCAATAAAATAGATTTATATCTTTTTTCTCGAGAACTGACATAAAAATATTAAACACTATCTATTTATTACACTGTCTTTTTTACAATGATGTCCATCCTGTACAAGGCCCAAGAGCCACTCGTGGTAGAGATTTACAGAGTAAGACGCATCACAAAGTGATAATGCCACCAAGATGCAAGGGCTCACAGGAAGTGAAGTAAACGACTTTAAAAGGAACGAGAAACCCAACCCTAAACAGGAGACAAGGGATAAACCTCTACTCCTGTTCAAAAGACCAGAAGGGAGTGTGAACCTGAGGATGGGGAAAACGTATCTACTATTGTAGAAAATGTGTAATTTAATAGTAAATAAAATTTAGGCGGAGACGTTAGAAGTATAGAGTTGAAGGAGATTGTGGTAGGAACGAGAAGCTAAAACCTAAACAAGAAATAAGGGATAAACCTCTACTCCTGTTCAAAAGACCGGGGAGGAGTTTGAACTGGACGATAGGCAAACCTATCTATTTCTCTTGGATTAATTACAATCATAGTGTTCCATACTTTTGTTGTCAATTCTTAAGAAAAAATAGGAATGTATAAATCCAGATTCTTATGTTTGGTTTCTATTCAAATTCAAAAATGACTTTTTAAACAATAAAAAGGAATAACCAATAGTAGGAGACAGTGACAGTAGTGACAGGAGAAAAAAACGCCATTTTAAAACATTATTAATTATTCTTTTGCAGGTCCAAAGATTAAACTTTGCTAAAATGTCTTCGCATTTTATCAGCTCAGGATTTTATAACAATTTTTTAAAATTTGAAATGCTTCATCTTTATCTTTTCCTATCTCTAGTTTCACTTTCCCTTAAGTACCTTTAAAAATGGCCCCTTTTCCTATCTCTAGTTTCACTTTCCATTACGTACCTTTAAAAAAAAAAACCCTTTCCTATCTCTAGTTTCACTTTCCATTACGTACCTTTAAAAATGGCCCTTTTTCCTATCTCCCATTTCACTTTCTTTTACGTTCCTTTAAAAAAGGACTCTTTTCTTATCTCTACGTCAACTTTCGGTCTCCTTATAAAAGGGCTCTTTTCCTCTTTCTAGGTCCACTTTCAATTACGTGCCCTTAAAAAGGTCTCTTTTCCTCTTTTGAGGTCAACTTTCCATTACTTGAACTCGGAAAAGGGTTCTTTTCCTTTCCCTAGGTCAAATTTCCATTACGAGCCCTTAACAAGGCCTATTTTTCGTCTGTCTAGGTCCAATTTAGATTACGTCTCCCTAGGAAACGCTTCTTTTCTTCTCTCTAGGTCCACTTTGGATTACGTCTCCTTAGAAAAGGCTTCTTTTTTTCTCTCTAGGTCCACTTTGGATTACGTCTCCTTAGAAAAGGCTTCTTTTTTTCTCTCTAGGTCCTCTTTGGATTGCGTCTCCTTAGAAAAGGCTTCTTTTCTTCTCTCTAGGTCCACTTTGGATTGCATCTCCTTAGAAAAGGCTTCTTTTCTTCTCTCTAGGTCCTCTTTAGATTGCGTCTCCTTAGAAAAGGCTTCTTTTCTTCTCTCTAGGTCCACTTTGGATTACGTCACTTTAGAAAAGGCTTCTTTTCTTCTCTCTAGGTCCTCTTTGGATTATGTCTCCTTAGAAACGGCCTTTTTTTCTGTATCTCTCAAGCCCAGCGTTAAAATGTTATCTGTGGTCTCAGGCTTTGTCTGGCCACCAGTCTAAGAGAAAGAATTCTGAACTGTAGAAAAGGCAACAGGAATTACTTTTAAGGTATGGCAGTTCACATATAATAAAGAATGAGGAATGCGTAGAGAGCCACGATCGCCTACGTCCTGAAGGGAAGTGGCATTATAAAGGAAAAATAAAGATAAACAGATCTGCCACAGGATTACATTAATGTGGCACCGATGATCGAATTTATTACACTGTCTTTGGGACTAGCTTGTTTACCATCGCCTTACAATGTAATGTGTGTGTTTGCAATGTTGATTGCCAACATATTGTGCTGGCTGCTTTTAAACACCACCACAACACGTTCCGCGCCTCCACGGCTCGAAGCAGCGCCCATGATGAAATCGAAAGCTTTTTTTTTCTTCCATCAGTGCCCGTGTTTATGCTTGTGGGCCACAGTGGCCAGTCAGAAAGAATTCCCGCACCCCACCCCTCGTTTTCTGGAGTAACTGGGCAACTGGCCAGCCAGACACGCAAGCCAACCGCTTTGATCCCTCTTCTCCTAAGATGAGGCATCAGTCAGATGCGAAGGTGGGGAAGGAGATGAAAGTATCTCCATGGCAACATGGCTGATCGGCTCGGCAGAAGCCATTCAGCTTTTCAAGGAGGTTGAAAGATGTGGGGGTCGGCCAGTGGAAGCGGAGGCTGGTCAGGGAAAAGGGTAGAAGGTGAGTGGGTGAAGAGAGGCGTGTTTGGTCAAAATGGATGGGAGGGGGGAAATTTGTGTGTATTAAGTATTAATGGAAAAATCGAAGATAGGCAAAAATGCAACAAGGAAGCACGAATCGGAGAAAAAGGAGAAAACGAAGGGACGAAAGAGGAGGGAAATAGGCATTAAAGAAGAAGAAGAAGAAGAAGAAGAAGAACAACAACAACAACAACAACAACAACAACAACAACAAGATTGGGAATGGGGAAAAAATTACAGAAATAAAAGAAAATCAAAAGCCAGAAATACTGGAGACTAAAGAGTGAAATAAATGATAAAAAGAATAAAAGAAAAATGGAGAAATAAAAATGGAATAAAAATGAAGAATGAACAATGAAGAATGAAAAATGGAGAAAGAAAGATGGAATAAAAAAGAAGAATGAAAAATGGAGAAAGAAAAATGGAAAAAGAAAAATGGAGAAAGGAAGATGGAATGAAAAATTGAAGAATGAAAAATGGAGAAAGAAAAATGGTGAAAGAAAAATGGAGAAAGAAAGAAAAAAGAAGAATGAAAAATGTTTTTCGATTTTTCATTTTTCATGGAGAAAAATGGAGAAAGAAAAATGTAATAAAAAGTAAAAAATGAAGACGAAACAAAGAAAAATGGAGAATGAAAAATGGTGAAAGAAAAATGGAATAACAATGAAGAATGAAAAATGGGGAATGAAAAATAAAGAAAGAAAATGGAATTAAAAATGAAGAATGAAAAAGAGAAAGGAAAATGGAATCAAAATGAAGAATGAAAAATGGAGAATGAAAAATGAAGAATGAAAAAAGAAAAATGAAATCAAAAATGAATTTAAAAAATGCAGAAAAAAATGAAGAAGGAAACTTGGAGAATAAACAAAAAAAATGAAAGAAAATAACAAAACCAACAAAAGAAAAAAGTAAAAAAAAAAAAACTTTTTCAAGACGTGATTAGCCTATGATTCTATCTTTTGGCTGTTGACTTTAGAAAATGCAAACCCCTTTTGAAAACCTCTTCGACCCTTACAAAATCTCCGACTGTTCTTCGATGTCCTTTATTTTAACTCATCACACAGGGGCAAACGAAACTACTTTTTTTCTTCTTTTATTACTTACATAACAAAAATTTGTTGTCACCTCTGTCTGACTTTTCTTTTGCACATTTTTGACATTGCTCATTTTAAGCGGTTGTGTGTATGTGTGCCTGTGAAAGAATATAAATTAACGTGGGGCATTGTGGGTATAGATAGATAGATAGATAGATAGATAGATAGATAGATAGATAGATATGAACAGATTCAGATAGATAGATAGATAGATAGATAGATAGATAGATAGATAGATAGATAGATAGATAGATAGATATGAACAGATTCAGATAGATAGATAGATTCAGATAGATAGATAGATAGATAGATTCATTCATTCAGAAAAAAAGCATCAGTATGAGGTACACAGAAATAAATAAAAGTTAGAATCAGTATAAGGTACATAGAAAGAATCAGTATAAGGTACATAGAAAAAAAGAAAGAAAAGATAGAATTAGTATGAGATAGATAGATAGATAGATAGATAGATAGATAGATTCAGATAGATAGATAAATAGATAGATTGATTGATTGATTCATTCATTCATTCAGAAAAAAAGAAGAGGAATCTTTTTTTACAAAAAACATTGTCTTTTTTTAATACTGGAAAATTTCTTTGTTTTAATGGCTTCCCTCTCTTTACTTCTCTTCTCCTCTCTCTCTCTCTCTCTCACTCACTCACTCTCTCAGTTTCTGTTTTATTTTAACCTCATTCTCTCTCTCTATATATATATATATATTTTTTTTCTATCCACTCTTAAAACCTTCTCCCTCTCTTTCTTTCTATCTTCATTTCTGTATCTTTGTTTATCTATCATTCACTCACTTACTCTTTTTTTTTTTTTTTTTTTTTTTTGCAAGCGCTCACGGCTCCCACTCACTTCTAAGGTTTCATTTGTTAAACGTTAATTAATTCTGATAAATGTAAATTAGACAAAATATAATTAGCCAAAAAAAAGAAAGTAATAATTCTCCTGCTGTCTAATTCTTTATTCCGCTTGTCAGTTTGTTTATTTTCGGTTTAATTTCATTGTTAAATATTGATTTGAAAACAATGATTAATTGACAACGGAGAGTTACTCTATCCAAAAGAAGATGGAAGAATCCTGTTAGACAAATAATTACAACAGACACGTTATTTGCGTTGGACAAGTATTTTGTGTATATGGTTTTGAACAAAATGTCGTGGATATATTCGGAGTCTATTCTATAGAATATGGTGTTGAGGCTGAGTAGTATTGGACAAGTATTTTGTGTATACTGTATTGAGCAAAATGTCGTAAACATATTTTGATTCTATTATATTGAGCATGGTGTTGGGACTGAGTAGATAGTGTTGGACAAGTATTTTGTGTATATTGTATTGAGCAAAATGTCGTAATCATATTTTGAGTCCGTTATATTGAGTATGGTGTTGAGACTGAGTAGATAGTGTTGGACAAGTATTTTGTGCATATTGTATTGAGCAAAATGTCGTAATCATATTTTGAGTCCGTTATATTGAGTATGGTGTTGAGACTGAGTAGATAGTGTTGGACAAGTATTTTGTGTATATTGTATTGAGCAAAATGTTGTGAACATATTTTGTGTCTATTGTATTGAGCATGGTGTTGACGCTGAGTAGATTGTGTTGGACAAGTATTTTTCTGCATATTGCAGTGAGTATATTGTTTTGGTAAAGTATATAATGCTGGGCAAGTTGCAGTTTTTTCTCAACCTTTTTAAGCAACCACGCACCTGATCTGAGATGGAAGTTGGTTGGAGTAAAGAAACAAATTAGACACTGGTTTGGAGAAATGACCAAACATTTTTGTTTTCATTTACAAGATATGAAAATGTCTCTGGTAAGTCGTATAATGCAACGTTCGAATTTACGGTGTTTGAGGTGTGAAATGTGAGTGTGGACAAAAGGAGTATGCTTAACCCTGCTGACAGCTTACTTAGCTATTGGTTTGGGCTTGTTGCGTTGAGCCCGTTCTCTTTGGGTTCACATGAAGTTGTTTTCACAGCCCAATTGTCAGACGGGCAGTCGGCCTTGCTCTTGTGTAGCCTCTATGTTTAGTGTGTGTCTGTGAAGTCAATCTCTCAGCTCTCTCTCTCTCTCTCTCTCTCTCTCTCTCTCTCTCTCTCCGCTGTCTTGTTTTCTTATAGCCTATATAAGGGAATCGTACGGACGTAGTTTTAAACATCTGTGGTAAGTGAGAGTTGCATCGATAATGGCCGGCACTCTGGTATATTTGTGTTTACTTTGAAATGTGTTTTGAGTAGAATGTGGCGTGTGTGTAACTTAGCTAGACGAAAATTGTTGTGTAGTTATATATGTTTTCTAATAATTGTATAAATTTGGCTTTAATTTATTATCTCTATGTATAAATTGTATTTTTTGCTACACAGCAAATTAAAATATTACGGCAAACTTAAAGAAATTATTAAACATTTAAATGCTATGAAATTAACCATAGATTTAAAAAAATACACACAAATGTGAA